ATGAGATGTAGTACATATAGTGAGGTCATGCTGGGAGCACTTGTGTGAGTTAGTGAGGACGGGCATGCTTCAAAGAACTATTCCATTCAAGAGCACTTCAGGGTCATTCTGCACACCCTGGCAATTGCATGAACCCAAGTTGAAAACAGGTGCAGTCAGCAACTTGTTCCATTGGTCTTTATTTTTCATTTATGTGATGTTGTGATCCTTTAATGAATAAATGTCTCTTTGACTAGCTGTTCTACTCATGGAAGCACAAAACCTCTGTCCCACACAACCACACAAAGCACTATGCCCCAGTAGGGCTTAAAAAAATAAGAAGAGATTAATTGGCTGTGTAATTCTACTTCCTCAAGAACTCTGTTCCAATGTAGCTGAATGTGGAGTCTTTGAAAATCAAGTACTAAAGACTAGGAAACTTCACTACTTAAATCTGTTCTCTAGTAAATATTTCTTGCAAAGCACAGACTTCCTTTGCAGCCACATACTTTGCTTGTAATATCATACTTGGCATAGAAAGCTTGCTTAACTCAATGAATTGAGACACACATACTGGGTGTAGAATCTACACCTCAGTTCTGTGCCAGGTCACTGATGAATGAGAAGGAGCCCCTCCAGGAAACTTAAGTGGCACATGTAACCACTGGAGATGTTATAAGTGAAAGGGAGGATCGTGAGACATTGGAGGCTAGGACATCCTCTTCTTCACCTCTCCCATCTAGTCTAACTCAGGCATATTAAAGGTATACAATGCTTATTTGGTAGCTGGATAAAAGCATGAGTAAACCAATGACCAAATACAATCAAATACTAAGCAAGATTTTTTAAAAAAGTGTATAATGCAGTGGAAATTCAAGCAGAAGAAATCACTAGCAATAGATTCATGAAGAAGAGAGGATAAGAGTTGAACATTGAAGGAAATTAAGGCTTTAGATGCTAGAACAAACGGTTAAAGGGGATTCCTAACTAGAAGAGTGATTTAGACTTAAACACCTATCAGAAGAATTTTGAGTACCATCCTCCAACAGATATTTGTATTTATACATATGTTCTACTATACTACCTTATGAATACATAAAAAGTGAGATTTTAAATAAGAAGGGAAAGATGAAATGTGGCATACTGTACTTGTTGTTGTTTAAATTTTTATTTATTTGTTTTAATTTTATTTGAAAGAGAGATAGAGATCTTCCACCCATTCGTTCACTCCCCAAATGCCTACAGCAGCCAAGGCTAAGCCAGTCTGAAGCCAGAATCCAAGAACTCCACCTAGTTCTTCCACTTGGGTGGCAGAGACCCAAGTACTGAGCAAACATCTGCTGCCCCTCAGGATGTACATTGGCAGGAAGTTGGACTGGAAGCAGAATAGCCAGGATGTGAACCAGGCACTTGGATATGGGCATTCTAACCACATTTATTCATACTGTTATTAATTCTATGGGCACAGATACATACTTCAAATGACATTTTTAATAATTTTGAATTTGTTTTGCTAACCCCTAGTCTTGTTGAATAAGATGACATAATCCCAAAATATGGCCAATGAGGAGTTTTAGTAGGCATAGGAGATGTGTCTGCTAAGTCATTTTCCTGTCACTCACACATTGCCTACATGATTCATATTGTCTTTGGTCTTCCGTTTCTTTGCAGGAACTTATTTCAGTTATTATGAGAGTTAGCTTGGAAAAAGCTGGATAGTATATAATAGTCACTTGGCCAAGCACATAAAAACTGTATTATGTTAAGAGAGGCCTAAAGCACCAAGAAAGTGAGAATGCCATCTGGAAAGGAGGTAAACCTCACACACCACTGGGCTATGCGGCCATCAGCTGACAGACAGATGGGCTGAGGGTGCCACTGTCAAGGCTCACTGATACCAATAATCACACCTTCCATGTGCAGGTGGAGTTAGCAAGTCACATACATGGGAAGGGTGGATGTGTGGGGTCAGATCATTAGTTGTGATTGAGAGGTTGTGATCTGGCAAGATATGCTAATGAGAGTATTTGCATATTGTAAGAAAGGATGATCAAAGGGCAAAATTTTTTTTAACTTTTATTTAGTAAATATAAATTTCCAAAGTACAGTTTATGGATTATAATGGCTTTCTCCCCCCCAATAACTTCCCTCCCACTCACAACCCTCCCCTTTCCCGCTCCCTCTCCCATTCCATTCACATCAAGATTCATTTTCAATTCTCTTTATATACAGAAGATCGATTTAGTATATATTAAGTAGATTTCATCAGTTTGCACCCACACAGAAACACAAAGTGTAAAATACTGTTTCAGTACTAGTTATAGCATTACTTCACATTGGACAACACACTAAGGACAGATCCCACATGAGGAGTAAGTACACAGTGACTCCTGTTGTTGACTTAACAATTTGACACTCTTGTTTATGGCGTCAGTAATCTCCCTAGGCTCTAGTCATGAGTTGCCAAGGCTATGGAAGCCTTTTGAGTTCGCTGACTTCGATCTTATTCCGACAGGGTCATAGTCAAAGTGGAAGATCTCTCCTCCCTTCAGAGAAAGATACCTCCTTCTTTGATGGCCCATGCTTTCCACTGAGATCTCACTCACAGAGATCTTTCATGTAGGGTTTTTTTTGTTTTTTGTTTTTTTTTTTTTTTTATCAGAGTGTCTTGGCTTTCCATGCCTAAAATACTCTCATGGGCTCTTCAGCCAGATCCAAATGACTTAAGGGCTGATTCTGAGGCCAGAGTGCTGTTTAGGACATCTGCCATTCTATGAATCTGCTGTGTATCCCACTTCCCATGTTGGATTGTTCTCTCCCTTTTTGATTTTATCAGTTAGTATTAGCAGACACTAGTCTTGTTTGTGTGATCCCTTTGACTCTTAGTCCTATCATTATGATCAATTGTGAACTGAAATTGATCACTTGGATTAGTGAAATGGCATTGGTACATGCCACCTTGATGGGATTGTATTGGAATCCCCTGGCACATTTCTGACTCCACCATTTGGGGCAAGTCCAATTGAGCATGTACCAAATTGTACATCTCCTCCCTCTCTTATTCCCACTCTTATATTTAACAGGGATCACTTTTCAGTTAAATTTAAACACCTAAGAATAATTGTGTGTTAATTACAGAGTTCAACCAATAGTACTAGAACAAAAAAAATGCTAAAAGGGATAAAGTATTAAATTGTACATCAACAGTCAGGACAAGGGCTGATCAAGTCACTGTTTCTCATAGTGTCCATTTCAATTCAACAGGTTTCCCCTTTGGTGCTCATTTAATTTTTGTCGATCAGGGAGAACATATGATATTTGTCCCTTTGGGATTGGCTTAATTCACTCAGCATGATGTTTTCCAGATTCCTCCATTTTGTTGCAAATGACCGGATTTCGTTGTTTTTGACTGCTGTATAGTATTCTATAGAGTACATGTCCCATAATTTCTTTATCCAGTCTACTGTTGATGGGCATTTGGGTTGGTTCCAGGTCTTAGCTATTGTGAATTGAGCTGCAATAAACATTAAGGTGCAGACAGCTTTTTTGTTTGCCAATTTCATTTCCTTTAGGTAAATTCCAAGGAGTGGGATGGCTGGGTTGTAAGGTAGGCTTATATTCAGGTTTCTGAGGATTCTCCAGACTGACTTCCATAGTGGCTTAACCAGTTAGTGTCCCTTTTTCCCCACATCCTCGCCAGCATCTATTGTTGGTAGATTTCTGAATGTGAGCCATTCTAACCGGGGTGAGGTAAAACCTCATTGTGGTTTTGATTTGCATTTCCCTGATTGCTAGTGATCTTGAACATTTTTTCATGTGTCTGTTGGCCATTTGGATTTCCTCTTTTGAAAAATGTCTATTGAGGTCCTTGACCCATCTCTTAAGTGGGTTGTTTGTTTTGATATTGTGGAGTTTCTTGATTTCTTTGTAGATTCTGGTTATCAACCCTTTATCAGTTGCATAGTTTGCAAATATTTTTTCCCATTCTGTCGGTTGCCTCTTCACTTTCCTGACTGTTTCTTTTAAAGTACAGAAACTTCTCAATTTGATGCAATCCCAAATGATAATTTTGGCTTTGACTGCCTGTGCTTCTGGGGTATTTTCCAAGAAGTCTTTGCCAGTACCTATATCTTGCAGGGTTTCTCCAACGTTCTCTAATGATTTGATGGTGTCACGTCATAGATTTAAGTCTTTAATCCATGTTAAGTGGATTTTTGTGTAAGGTGAAAGGTAGGGGTCTTGCTTCATGCTTCTGCACGTGGAAATCCAGTTTTCCCAGACCATTTATTGAATAGACTGTCCTTGCTCCAGGAATTGCTTTTAGATCCTTGATCAAATATAAGTTGGCTGTAGATGTTTGGATTGATTTCTGGTGTTTCTATTCTGTTCCATTGGTCTATCCATCTGTTTCTGTACCAGTACCATGCTGTTTTGATAAAATATGCTAATAGGAATATTTGCATATTGTAAGAAAGGACGCTCAAAGGGCAAAAATTTTTATTTTTAAAGCACATTGTCTTAGAGGCCAGTGTTGTGGCACAATGTGTTAAGCTTCAGCCTGCAATGCCAACATCCCATATGGGTGCCAGTTCATGTCCTGGCTGCTCCACTTCTGATCCAGTTCCCTGCTAATGGCCTGAGAAAAGCAGTAGAAGATGACCCAAGAACTTGAGTCCTGGCTACCCGTGAGAGAGACTAAAATAAAGTCCTTGGTACCTCGTTTTGGCCTGGCCCAGCCCTGGCCATGGGGTCATTTGGGAAGTGAACCAGTGGATGAAAGATCTGTGTGTGTGTGTGTGTGTGTGTTTCCCTCTCTCTGTAATTTTTTCAAAATAGATAAAAAATCTTCAAAAAACAAAAACAAAACAAAGCAAGTTTGTCCTAGAAAGGAGGGAAAAAAGGAAACTGAATGAAACATAGAGTTTGGCTAGCTCCCTAAGTTAATTCCCTAGAGTTATCAGCTGCTGGTCATGGGGCTTGATTTCTTTTAAGTACAGACGTTTTTCATTGACTGTTGGCAGGAGAGAGCCAGGAGCTGCCTGGCCTACCTGGTGAGCCAGCTGGCCAGCATGGAGCACTCGTTTCACCATATTCTTCTGCTGGAGATCAAGAGCATCACTGACACCTTCTCCTCCATCCTGGGCCCACAGAGCAGAGACATCTTCCGCATGAGCAACAGCTTCACCACCATTGCCAAGCTCCTTACCCGACAACTGGAGAGCTCCAAGGCTGGAAGTGGCAGGTGAGCGGGACTTCCTGTGTACCCCAGGGAGCTGCCCTGAGCTCACAGAGGCTGAGCACAGGCAACTGCGTTTCCCTGGGGTAGTCATGAAATGACCCAAGGAAGGCCAAAGCCAATGTCTCAGTGGAGTGACTTCTGAGTAAATCATGTCATTTACCAATAGTTCATGTGCATCTGTGGAAGTCAGAGGGTAACAAAAATTCTAAAAGATGCACAAAATATGGTAGAATAAAAGTGTAATGCAAGGAACAGTGTCTTGTAGCACTCACTTATTAAATAAGAATTGAACAACTATTTTCTGTATCCCAAGAAGCTAAACACACCCAAGGAGATAAAACATGTTCCTTGCACCTAAGGAGCTCACTATAAAGAGGTGATAAATTTTTTTCTTTTTTTTTAACTTTTATTTAATGAATATAAATTTCCAAAGTACAACTTATGGATTACAATGGCTTCCCCCCCATAACTTCCCTCCCACTCGCAACCCTCCCATCTCCCGCTCCCTCTCCCTCCCCACTTCCATTCACATCAAGATTCATTTTCAATTCTCTTTATATAAAGAAGATCAGTTTAGCATATATTAAGTAAAGATTTCAACAGTTTGCACCCACATAGAAACACAAAGTGAAAAATACTGTTTGAGTACTAGTTATAGCATTAAATCACAATGTACAGCACATTACGGACAGAGATCCTACATGAGGAGTAAGTGCACAGTGCCTCCTGTTGTTGACTTAACAAACTGACACTCTTGTTTATGGCATCAGTAATCACCCTAGGCTCTTGTCATGAGTTGCCAAGGCTATGGAAGCCTTTTGAGTTCATCAACTCTGATCATATTTAGACAAAGTCGTAGTCAAAGTGGAAGTTCTCTCCCTTCAGAGAAAGGTACCTCCTTCTTTGATGATCTTTTCACTAGGATCTCACTCGCGGAGATCTTTCATTTAAGGTTTTTTTGTTTTGTTTTGTTTTTTGTTTTTGCTTTTTTTTTTTTTTTTTTTTTTTGCCAGAGTGTTATGGCTTTCCATGCCTGTAATACTCTCATGGGCTTTTCAGCCAGATCCAAATGACTTAAGGGCTGATTCTGAGGCCAGAGTGCTGTTTAGGACATCTGCTATTCTATGAGTCTGCTGAGTATCTCGCTTCCCATGTTGGATCATTCTCTCTCTTTTTTATTCTATCAGCTAGTATTTGCAGACATTAGTCTTGTTTATGTGATCCCTTTGACTCTTAGTCCTATCATTATGATCAATTGTGAACAGAAATTGATCACTGGGACTAGTGAGATGGCATTGGTACATGCCACCTTGATGGGATTGAATTGGAATCCCCTGGTATGTTTCTAACTCTACCGTTTGAGGTAAGTCAGCTTGAGCATGTCCCAAATTGCACAAGAGGAGATAAATTTTTAAGTGTGCAATTAGAGAATGGTGGAAGGTTATGCTAACCAAGATGGATTCAGAGAGTTTGGTTCTATTGAGATGGGATTCTCTACTTCTGCAAAGAAGAAAATGGGATGAAAGCTGAGATGGAGAAAGATTTTCCAGGAGATATTTTGAACCAAGTCATGAAAGATGCCCAGATCTCTACAATCCCTGGAGTGACTAACATCATGGAACACTGAATGTCTTTGGCTATAGCAGCAGGCTGGTAAGAGAGGGAGTAGCCAGGATGCCTTAATGGGCCTTGAGGGAGGCTTGGAGAAAGTCGATGATGGGAATCCTAAGAATCAGGGCAGGCAGAAGGGATGCAAAGTTAGGAGGAACTGATCACATGGGAGTGGGACAAGGTGAAGGGGAGGAGAGTGGTGAAAATACAGATGCCTAGCTGGGATGATTGCAGAGGCCTAGACGCTGATGCTGGCAACCACGACTAGAGGTAGCAGGAGGGGAACCCTTCTGGAAGTGTCTTGCCCCACCACACACAGAGTCTATTCCCTGACTACATGGTCATCAAAGTCAATAGCAACTGCTCATTAGCTAAGACCCAACTGCAAATGTCCTTCTATGCCAACACCACAGTTTCAATTGGGCATATAAAAAATTGTTTTTACCTTGTTCAATAGACACCTTGTACAGGTGTCTATTTAAACCTTGATACTGTTGATACTTGGGCTACATGAGTCTAAGTTAGGGGCCTCTGTGTACATTATAGAATATTTACCAGCATCCCTGGCTTCTACTCACTGGATGCTAGTGGACATGCTTTCTCTCAGTTGTGACAACCAAAAAGGCCTCCAGGCATCGTTCAATGTCCCCTAGGAGACAAAAATCTCCCCCAGGTGAGAGCCACTGCAATATATCCATAGATAGATAGATAGATAGATCCATATGTATCTCTATATATAGATATTTCAAAAATAGCATTTTCACAGACTCCTGGCTCGAATAGCAACAACCTGAACAGGGCTGCTTCCATGAAACTCAGTGGCAGCATCATGAAGGAGTGACTTGTCATTTAGATGCCACCACGAAGTCACTGTTGGATGGCTTTCATTATGTGCTTTCAGACATTTGGTGTAGTCTCCACAGCTGGGTCTGGGGAAGCCCTTGTGCACAGTGCCCAGCCTGCCTGCCCTTGTCTTTTTCCAGCCTTGCCTGGCAGGTGCGTCACCTGTGAAGGCTCAAGCACATATCCTGGCAACAGGCCATCCATGCTCCACTGACACCCCACCCCCCAAAAAATATCCACAAAGTTTCAAAATGCCAGTAGATGTCTCTGAGATTAGATATGTTCAAACAGTTTATATAAAACAGAAATAGTTATACAAGTGCTATACTATATTTTAATAGGAAAATTAATCCCTAACCAGTAGGACTAACACCATTAGCAACATACCATTTTCTCATGAAACTAAGAATTTAGGAGATATATAGATAAAAGGAAAAATAATATCTCTATACAAATATGAATCTGCATGTATGAAGTTACTTCAAAAATTTGTGGAGGGACTGGTGCTGTGGCACAGCGGGTTAAAGCCCTGGGCTGCAGTGCCAGCATCCCATATGGGAGCCAGTTTGAGTCCCAGCTGCTCCACTTCCCATCCAGCTCTCTGCTATGGCCTGGGAAAGCAGTAGAAGATGGCCTAAGTCCTTGGGCCCCTGCACCCATGTGGGAGACCTGGAAGAAGCTCCTGGCTCCTGGCTTCATACTGGCTCAGCTCCAGCCACTGTAGCCATTTGGGGAGGGAACCAGCAAATGGAAGACTCCTCTCTCTCTCTATGTCTCTACCTATCTCTGTAACTTTCAAATAATTTTAAAAATAAATCTTTAAAAAAATTGTGGAAATGAAATTGAAAAATATGCTTATTTTGGTGCAAAAATGTTTTGAAATCCATGAATACAAGAAGCTTTCAGAAGTACCTGGGAATTTGCATTATGAAAAACTATGCATGGATTTCATTTTTTGGCATCAAAATAAATTTATCTTTTAATTTTATTTTCCATGAACCTTTTGAAATATCCATGTACGAGAATGCATTTAAGTTCGCCTTGTTTTATATTTTTCTAAGGTGGGGGAATAAAACAAGAAGGAGCAAAATGAAATGTAAAGAGATGAAAAGGTTACCACTCACCTCATGTACCACCATCACCACCACAGGCTCTCTCAATTCAAATAGTTCTCCAAGCTCAGCTCTCCCTGCCAATGGATTGTAATTATTCAGTGGGAACCTCACCATGGGGTGTGGACAGCTCTCCCTGTGTATGAACTGCTCATCCTCTCTGGGAGGGTTGCTAAGGCTTCTCTCCCAGCAGCTCTGCCCTGAATAGTCTTGGGTTGCTAAGGCTTCTCTCCTGACAGCTCCGCCCTGAATGGTCTTCATTGTGACCATTTAGCCGCAGTCATTTGAATCTGCACCCGCCCCCACTCCAAGCAGCAAGGTCTACACTTTTGTCTAAAGTATACAGCAACGTCTGCTCTGCACAATTACAGGGGAAATGAATAAGTGAAGTGAGCTTGAAAGAAAATTAAAGATTATAAAATTCAAAACAGATGTCATCTAATTTACAAATCTGACACATAGCCCAGCAGGCCAGATTTCAGGCTTCAGCCCAAAACGACAAGATTATCAAAAGAAAAACAAATCACATCCGAAAGAGAATGAAAAATTGAAGCAGACAGGAGCCCGCTTTGTGCCCAGAGATTCTGAATAAATTGGGCATTCTGTAAGATACACCAGGTGAGCTCACACACACTTTTTCTGTTCCACTATTTTAAAAGAATGTTTCTATCTAAATAATAAACCAACAGAGACTAGATAATAGGACAATCAAACAAAGTGTTTCGATTTTGAAGTTAATTCTGGAGAAGCAAATAGGATACAATATCAGTTGGGTTGACAAGGAGGTGTCAGGATAGGAAAAGAGGTGTTGACTTTTTGAAACTGTGAGCCCTACCTGGCCTTCCAGGTAGCCCCTAAACCAATGGGCTGTCTGCCTGCCAGCACCCAGGTGGAGCTGAGGCAGCTGCGTGGCTGGCCTCCTCCCGCAGGGATCATCCCACTAGATGATGCCTTTGCCAAAAGCATGGGACCCCAGGGAGGCCGTTCTAATCAGGCACCATCAAACTAGAGGACAATTTGTCACAGGTGGTCCTAGCAGGAGGCCAGCATCAGGCCCCAGCTGGGGGTGGAATTTTGAGTACGGAGATGGTGGAGAGAAAGCTAGGATGGGAAGTAAGCAGGAGAAATGGGGACGGACAGGGAGAGAGGACCCTGGTGGGGCTAAGCGGACAGGGAACCAGAAGGAACAGGAGACAGGGTCCCTGGACACAGCCCCAGGCCTTTCCTACAGAGGAGGGAGGTGAAAAATTCCCCCAGATCCATCTCTCAAGCCCTAGCCAAAGCCATCAAAGTCATGAAGAGAAAAGAAATTGTTTACAAAAAAAGTTTCAGACAAAGCCTGTGATTGAAGTTTCCTGAAATTTTCGCTTGGTTGGTGAAATGAGTGATGTGTTATTCTGGTGATGATGCTGGTCGTGGTGGAGAGATTTTTGTCTT